TAACATTGAGCAAAATTGGAAATAAATTGGTTTCTCCCCAGAAACAGGGTAAAATCATTAGCATAAAGGAGTTGAGTAGAGTAGGTCGGTTTACAACAGTAAAGGAAATGGTGGAAGGGTGGGAGAGGGGAGAGGGGGGGGGGGGGAAGGAGAACTCGGTGAGTTTGTACAGAACTAAAACTAATCCTTGAGTTAATGGTAACAATGAATCACTGTTGCTTGTCGCCATATGCGAGCAATGGAGGCATAAAATAGGGAGAGAGAGGGGCGATAAAAATAACGGAGTTGGTATTTTTACGCAAAAATGACAGTTCTACATTTTTCTGCTGAATATGCAAGCAAAATCAGCCTTATCCAATCAATAATTGATCGAACTCACCTTGTTTTACCCATGGCATAAGTGAGCATGGTAATAACTTTCCGCTAAAACACACCATGGCGAACTCTGTGCGTATTTGCAGAGCAGTTTCAGTGATACAGTAACGAATGAGGGTTGACTTTGATGCAGGAGGTGGCGTTAAGTTCTATCCGGTCCTGTCTGTGTCGTCGTCCGGCCAACCATCGAAACTGACGCACTATCGAATAAACACGGGAAAAGGGGGGGGGAGATGATGGCGATGTGAGCGCTGACGTCGACCGAGCCACGACGACGACGTCGACAACGACTGATGTGAAGAACGATGCCATCGATGGAGAAAAAGTCGTTCTCTTCGCACAGAAACGACGTTAGTGGATTAGGAAAAAACACGCGACGCCGACGACGAAATTCGAAACCACATCGTTCAATTAATGAACAACTGACATTTAATGCGGTTACCGAACAGAGAATAGAATTTTAATCCAGTGAAGCCCTGCCCTCCCGTCAAATAGGTATTTGCAGAAGGCTTTTTTCAGCTTGGAACCCTAATTCAACTTTTCAAGGTGAACTTGAAATAGCCATGTTTACCAGTACTTTTCCGACGATAGAGCACGTCACGAGAAATGAGAGCAAATTTTGGCGAAATCTTCTAGAACATCTGTTAAAAAACAAAACGCCCACCAAAGCATTCGTTAAGAGAAAGTGGCTAACGGTATGCTATTTTGGGACGCGAGTGCGGCAAAAAGATATCCCAGAATGTTAACAAAGATAACGACATGAATGAAAGTCGAGAGCATAATGAGCAGGTAATGTAACCTTATTTGGGGTACCAAGTTTAGCCAATTCTCCAGTACAATTGCATTAAATCCTAAAGGTCAAAACCAGCCATCATCTCAGTAAGTCAGCTTTTGTCACATGCATCATAAAATACGGAACACGAATTATGAAAGATGGTATCACAATCCCTCCCCCTCCCCTCTCCTCCCGCCTCCCCTCCTTCTATCGCTCCCCAAACAAAATTTCCAGATTCTCATGTATATATATTGTTTTCCCAGTTTATGACTGTACATGGATGCGGATGTTTATCTTCTAGGGTGAATAAGATTGATACTAAAAATTTAGAATTTTACCGCATTGCTCACATTGCACTCAACCAAGGTATTTTTGGAAGTGTTCTCCGGTTTGTGAGCCATAAGGTTCCACTTGTATATATTCGAATATTAGTCCCGATACTAATTTGCCAGAAACAATGAATATTTTTCACCTTTTATGTATTTCAACCCATCCGCAACTCGGCGAAATATGATGGTCAAGTGCACAAAAATTTTCAATACAGCCTTTCCTCATCTTTCCAGAGGTCACGTTACCAATCTGATTTCTTTCATAGCTCAATAAATTCTCGGAGTTTTGAACCCATCGTTTTTGTTTTGTGTAACTTTAGCTGACTCAAAGATTTTCATTAACTTTAAAAAACTCGACCACTTGAGATTAGAGCAAACTTCAGAGCGAATCTTTTCTGTATCCTCATGAGCTACCCTTCCAATGCCTTTTGAAATGATATTTCAAAAAGCTTTCAATAATTTCACCTGGAAGAAAAGCATCAAACCTTAGAGAATTCTTGTTATACGGAAACTTCTGAAGTCGTCTACAAGTAATTGAGCGTTGTAGCTTCAAAAAAGTGATTGAAAATTTTCGGACACAGCTATGCGAATAATAGAATTTAAAACTCATGTGATTAGCTCCACATTCATGTTGAAAGACAGTCGGAAACCCAGCTGCTGGAAGAAGTGCGAAAAAGGCGTCGAACACATTCTACAACTGTCAATATTCTACTGACGTAAGGATAGGTCCAAAAAGATACAAAGAATTCTCATTAATTTAGGCTCAACCTAATTTATGATAACTTTCTATCTTCTCTCACTGAGATATACCCCCTAACACGGGGTTTTCAAAACAAAAGCAGAGACGAAAGTACAATAAGCGAACCAAGGAAGAGCCACTGATAATATCTGCAGAGTGCACTCCCTATTCTGTCCCCACTATACTTTTTTTCAGAGGTTTCTTCAGGATTCTTTCCAAAACTCAAACTGACCGAATTTCTACAGTTCATTCTATTGCAGGACATTTGCTAAGATTTATATTTGCGCCAATTGCTGTTGTCCCCGACAAGAAGTCGAGGCAAAAACACTTGTTAGCAAGTCCTCGTGGCCTTTGCGAAAAAAGATTTGTTGTCGAGTTTGCGCAAGACTTTTTTTTCAGTAAACCTTTGATCACCCGCAAATTTAGAGATTTTCCGTAAATAGATGTGTGGGATACTGGCTTAAAGAGATTAATGTGTTTGAATCTGAATGGAAAAATGTGAATTCAAATTCACGTCACTTGTGTTTTTTCTCTAGAAATTTATTTAGGAGAAAGCATCTTAGAGATTGCTGTAAGGCAAACCCCGGTCAACAAGTCCATTGTGCCACTGCGTAGTTGGAAGGAAAAAGATCAACGAGGCCTGGAAGTTGATGAATGACTAGACGCATGTGTGTCAGGAGTAAGAATGAACCTTGGAATCAAGCAATCTGCGAGATAATTCCAGATATTTTTTAGCATAAAATATTGATCGTACATAATTGAACGCCATGAATGAGCATTCTTTCTTATTATGTAAAGCAGCTGTTCATCATAGCATTAGAAAAGACAACCATGAACGATCTTTAGAGGCACGAACTGCATTTTTTGGCTACACAGGTTAAATGAATAGCTTGACAGAAAATATTAGGTCGTTTTAAAAGTAATTTCGCTTTCTTCAAACGGGCGCCACGTTTGAGGGAACAAAGCTTTCTAAGAGGTCTTGGTAGCATTCGAAACAGCATTTCATTCTCTTTCTAATGGCTATGAAATTGTTGCAAAACAGTCAATGAGCTTTCAGAAAATAACCAAAATCTGCGACCTATGGTTTTTGAGATGGTCAAGTTAACAATTTTCTAAAACTTTCATATCAATCCTTGGAAGGAGTTTAAGTGACGGTTCGATAGAGCAAACCTTACAGGATGCAAAACAATTTTTTTCTCCTTTCTTTAGCTTGTCATTCATTTTTAACAGAAGTTTAACTGATGCTACTGATTTTCATACTTGGACAGTTAGATCTTCATCGAACATCAAACGGTGAGCACCCTGGGTGTCATTCGATGCAGCTTGTTCTCCTCTTTCTAATGGGTGCTTTTTGTTTCCGATTCGTTCAGTCTTCGGGACTAAAATCCTCATAACTCATTTTTCCAATGAGCCCCAGGCTGTGCCCGTAAAACTCGAAATTTGATATTTCGAATCCGTAAGCTCTCACTTGCTTTATAAATTGATGCTAACTCATAGTACCATCTTGATAGTCTCAAATTCCGAACAGTCACGATGTTTGATGCGATTGTGGCTAATGTAAGTCTGCCAAATTCCGATGGCTTCGTTAAAAAATCTTTTGAGAAATTATTGCGAGCTTTAAAAAGAGAAAAAAATGTACTGTATTCTATGAGTTTTGCTCTATCGAATCCTTACTTGATTCCTTCCGAAGATTGATAAAAAAGTTTTAAAAAATTGTGAAACTTGACTATCTCAAAAAGCAGAGGTCGTAGATTTTGGTTATTTTCTGAAAGCTCATTCATTGTTTTGCAGCATTTTCATAACCATTAGAAAGAGGATGAAATGCTGCATTGAATGCTACCAAGACCTCTTAGAAGTCTTTGTTCCATTGAATGTGGCGTCCGTTTGAAAAAAGCGAAATTACTTTTGAAACGACCTAATACAATTTGAACGATGGCTTGAAAAAACATGGTAATCCGCAAAATAGCATGTTCTTAAGATTAAAAAAATTGCAAGATGCCAAAAGAAATATTCTGCTCAGTTTTCAATCTTATCAAAAACGCCACTGTTTATTTTTAAGTATTTCGTCTCAAAAAGGTACGGCCGCGACAACGTTTTTTTTTCGTAAAATTGTTGAGTATTGCAAAACTGAAACGCTAAATCCTTTTGATTATTTATTCTTCTACATGACAGATCAACGGAATACTTTGTGAGCTTTGAGTTCCCTTACTTATGTCAGGTGTCAGATCAAACACTCGAAATTTTTTTTTAGATAAATTGAGCCACATTATCCTGATTTATAACTGCTGGAAGCATCGGAAAATCGGATAAAGAAGTGAATAGTCAATAAAGGATAATAGTTAACGCTACCAATTTCATATATCTAAATTATCCATGAACGCTAAAGCTAAATCTTTGACCCAGATGACCTGAAAAAATCTGAAAACTCGACATTTTCACCATAAGAGCATTCGTCCCTGTTACTCTCGAGAATCGGTTCACTCTTATACCACACACTGTAAAAGGCACTCTGTGTGTCCCGATTTCAGGAAAACATCGCCATTAACGTTGCCGCTTTTTACGGCTTTTGCGACTGGAATAACAGAGAGCGCAACTAATGCAAACATAGAGCACACGTCGCGTAATACAATCCTCACTTTCAATGTACATATTCACACATTCGTTTCATCGCACACATTCACCGTAGAGCATGAGAAAGATAGAGGAAATTTGGAAATGCAACGAATAATCGATAAAATCAATATTATGCGAAAATTTTCGGTAATGAAAAAACTGGACTAACCATAAATTGTCGTACGACGATTTTCTTTCGCTGTCTGTCGTGTCACGACAACGACGCCTTTGTCTCTTTCTAGACGTCGTAACACCTGTGGCGTCGACTGTTCTTGTAGGCAACAGCGCATCGCTGTTGTCGTGTCTGAAAATGGAAGCGCTAAGAGTGTTGAGAGGAGGCTAGAAATGGTGACAAAAGTGTGTAAATACAGAAAAACTTGCAAACAACAGCGCTTGCCTATGTAAAGAAACGTCGGCTAAAGCTGGACAATGTGTGCTTTTTCTAGCACTAAATAACAGTGTAGACGGGGTGGTTTGCTACGTCTACGAGGTGGCGGTGATGGCGGTAGTGGCGACAATGAATGGCGCGATTGAAGGAGAGAGACAGCGACAAACAAAACCAGATTTTAGTAGTAACAAGTTCCTTGTATAATTGTGAGGTGTACTAAATGTACATAGAAGGAAAGAGGGTGGGGGAGGAGAACTAAGATGGAGGAAGCAAGAAGGATGTAAAAATTTTGACGTTTGCTACGTACTGTACGTTACTGTGGCCTCAATTCAAACACTCAAAGTTACCACTTTGAAAAACGCCAGAATCTAATACTAAATGAGCGTTCTTTTTTCCTCCTTTCTCAATGTGCTCAAATGAACAAGACCATCATGATGGCATCCTAAGCAGCTTTCTGGGACAAATTTATCAGAAAAAGAAGCAAATGGAGGATTTGAATTCGTTCTTTTGAAGTTTTCTAAATAGCGAAAAGATCATAGCAAGATATGAACTTTTAATGGTCAATGGTAACTTTATATCCTACATATAAAAATGACAAATTTCGTAGTGATTTGGAAACTATAAAAAGAGTAGAATTTTCTAAGAAAAACATAGCTGAGTTTGCCGTTTTCCAGAGTAAATTTGAAAACCATTCTACTTATAGTGTTCGATCAGCAAATACTCTACTCAGCTGATAAGAGTAGGTCTTAAGTGACTGTTCTAGACTGACATTGAAGTTTTATGTGGATCAATTTGAAAACTCGATATTAAAGTGATCTTATCTGTTTACTATTATTTCTGAAGTTTTGCTTTCCAAAAAAGCCGCTCAGAAGCTTAAAAACATTGATTTGCTTTTTGTAAGATCAATGACAGTCAAATTCATCGAAGTGAGAGGATGTTACGATTCGTAAAGTGAAGTGACATATTTTTTGTCAACTCAATACTGGAAACGTAATGTTCTACACACTACCGCCTATTGAATCCGAAGGAATTCAAGCCATACATGTTCTTGAACTCTGAAAGAACGAATGTCTCTGCTACTTATCGAACAGCGCCCGATCGAAAAAAGCCTCTAATGGACGAGTTTTCAGGGACAAATACAAAGAGCCAATCAGCCCAAAGTAAAGGAAAAAACGTTTTTCTCTATAGGACGCAGCAAGCAACATGTCAATCGTGGAAATGCTTTCAACAAGGAACGAAAAGTTCCTGTGTGCAGGGTGGGCCGAAAGGAAAAAAAGCAACGGAGTGGAGAAAATAGAAGAAGTGGAAATTCCTCGCGGGTGTCAAATTGCAAGAGCTTCAACCGGTCACACATGAGAATACATTTTTTATAACATAAAGCTTGTGGGAAGACCAGTATCTATGTTTATTTGGTTTCACTTGAAGCTCAGTTTATTTGCATTTAGTTTATAACAAACTTAGAAGCATAAACTTCGTGCAATGAATATGCAATCCATCTAAGCAGAAGGAAGAAAATTTTGAAAATCAGTGCGATAAAAGGAATTCAAAGCAGATCAGAGATCACTGAAGCGCATTCGCTGTAAAAGTCACTCGCGCTATGAATTCCAGCCAAATATAGCCTTCGCCGAAAAAGAGTTACTCAGCTTGAAAAACCTTTCATCTGATACGTTCCATTATTTGAAGTCTGGTCACGGTAGGCATACGGTAGATTGCTTGCCATATAGCCAGAACTGACTCCTCCTAATGCAGTGCATGCCTACCATAAATTGTTACATTACGCTGATGCTATACTTTTGCTTTTGCTATTGGTTTCATCAGAAGGTATAATTCATTTTTGCAATACGGAGAAAGCACCTCTGAAGCAAAAATAGGACGGTGAAAAACGGGTTCTAGCGAAATTTTTTTTCGAGATGATAATGAAAGAATTTCATGAAGAAGCAGTTGCTATGCAGCGAGTAGTAATTGCCTCACTTTAAAGATTTTGACTCTTTCTTGCTAAAGAAGCCAGCTACCGCATATAATAGATGCTACCCTTTTCAATCACTCTTTTTCATCTACGCCATTTTTGCATCAAAGAAAAGTTCAGCGAAAGAGACAAAGAAGCAAGAGATACATCGTTACTTGCTCAAAACTATTTTTAGAAATACTATCTTCTGTGATATTTTGCCACACAGGTTTGTTATATTTTATTTTTTTACGAACAGAGAACATATGAAATTCTATTTTTAGAAAGTTCGCAGCTTATAGGTAAGAAAAGTTGAAACAAATCAAACGGCTATGAGCAAATCTATAGCTTGTATTCTAGCAGCTCCTTTCGGATCGGTAAAGTCTCATCTCGCTGTATCGTCGCTAAATGCGCATCAACCGCCTCCTCTTGCAAAACTTCTAAAGAAGTTTTCTGAAGAGCCTCACATTTCATGTGAGAAATGTAGCGCATCAATCACAGAATAATGGCCGAGGAGAAACCGCTTAGAACGAAGAAGAAGCAAGTGATCTGGCCGACTCCGGAATAATTCCAAAACTATAGAGAAGTCGAATTTGAAATAAGTCATGTACTAGCTTATTCTAGTTACCTTAGATTCAAGGTGGAGAAAGCTGTTAACCAGGCTCAAAGTTTCAGAATTTTGAAATTTATTCCTTTGCACTTCTTGAGAAAGGTTGACGATGGTGCAGCGCTAATGTTTCATTCGTGATGGAAGTGGGTGAAAGTAATCTATTGATACAAAGTTTATTATCATCAAATAGATAAACTTTCAAACAACAATCTTTAAACTTATCGCGAGAATTTTATAGAACCAGAAATTAAACCCGACACACAGAAGCATTCAGTTCGAAAAGAGCAAAACCATCAGAAATTTGGCCAAAACGGAACGCTCGAAGTTGTCGAGCTCGTTCACATGCCGTCTGATTTATGTGTATGAGGGGAGTGGGCAAACCCATCAAGCAGCTAGCAGCGTTTCAGAAAGTTTATGCACATTTAGCTTTTCTTAGATGAAAAGCACAAGCATATTACCAGCCGCAGAAAGGAAAAATAGATGTTCATGAATTTGGAACTTGCTAATGAAATGTCTATGTGGAAAACGGCAGAGCAGCTAAATCAACAAGGGCATCACATTCCATTCGCGGCATAAATCGAAGACTATGTTGCCTAGAACTCGGTCAACTCGCTCCCGAAACTACGATAAGGACAAGGTTAAGCTCCCAAAGCGCTCAAGTAAAGATTTCTTAGCGAATCTCCTTTTACGTCAAGAATGTTCCTAATACCAAAATAATGTCGTAAATCCAAAAAGAAGGTTTGAGAGCGCATACGTTGACGATAGTCGTTGCCTATAACTCAAAATGGAGCTCGGAAAAAGGACTAAGTATTTATTTACCATTTACCCCCTCTTTCACTCCGTTAACTAGAGGTGATACTGACATTTTCTTCGACCCATGATAAACAGTGCTTACAAAGCAGAAAAGGAGACTAGCGATTTGCCAGATGACTGAAAGCTATGAGACCATTTCAATCTTAAAGCGAAAAGACTGACATCTGTTGTCGTATTGCGCGGGCGGCACACATACCACGCCTTATCGAGAGAAGGGTCGTCTATCGAGAATATCCCTTTGCGGACTTTTTATTTCATAGATGAAATATAGCCAATGAAAATTGCACAATTCAAGGGGCTATCAATTTTAGGCAAACGAAGACAACTTTAAACAGCAGATCCTGACACTTTGCAAACTCAGGCTAAATTAACCGCAATTTCCACCAGTGGCTAACGCAGCGTTGTGCTATATAAAGTGCCGAATGCGGGTGAAATCAAATGTGTCCACTTTTTTGGGAAAATCCTTCACTGAATTTGACTGACGTGCTGTCGAACGAGGAATCATCGCTTAAGAACGACCCCACGCATAAACGACGGACGTTGATGCTTACTGCAATGGCATGTGAAGATTTTCGGAAGCGATAAGGTGAACGGCTGGCTTTAGTAATCGAGTAGCGGTAGATTCTTGTTAGTGACAGCTAATTGAAGCCTTTATGGGGCACTAGACATTTAGGGAGAAAAATGGAATGCAAGCATATTTTCTCGATGGGATAAGGAGATGCAGATGTAGGCGTTGCAGCGATAGAAAATTAAGTTTAATGAGCGGAATAAAACTACCTAAGCCTTGATTCAAGGTCGAAATGGAAAGCAAGAGGATCATGATGGGTTCCGGACAGCACAAAATATTTTCAACTGGGAAACGATCATTTTTTGCCTCTAGAGATCTTTCTGGCTTTTGAATACCAGAGCAGGTAATGTACCATAAAATTATAGCTCACTGCATGTTGAAAAGATTGCATCGCACTTGAACTTTGAAAAGTGGGAAAAAAGGGAAGAGAACGCATTTTAAACAAAATTATTATGCTTTGCTATGATTTTGGCAGTACAAAAAATTTCAAAAAAGTGATAACCTGAGACTATAGAAGCTCTACAACGACAGTATTCTATATTGTACTAGTTGGGGCCACAATCTGCTTCAATCAGTGCTGTTTCCTGTAGGACCGTAGCTGTACCGTACTGATGATGAATATCAGGTGACGCGGTGAGCTGCGGCATGAAAGCTTTTATACTTAGATAGAATGCTTTTATAACTCTATTTCAAGCGCTTATAAATGGATAAGTCGTGTTCGAATTAGTGATGTCCGCGTCATAAATCTCTCGCCGGCACGACAGACACAAAGATTCGAATTGCTGTCCGAAATCTGTCTCGCGCAACAATGATTTAATACTCTAGAAATGAATGTTAGAACACGATGTGATTCTAAAAAGAATGAGTCCAGAGCCATTTTCCAGCTTTATTGCTTCTAGTTTCGCATGGGAGACTTTAATCTCAGAGTAAATCGCAAAAGCTTTTGATTTGAATAGACCTAAAGGAAAAAAGCTATTCTAAGCAGTATTCAAATCAAATAAATGGATGGCTGTAGGGAAAACGTAGATATAAAAAATGCGATAAAGTCATACAAAATCAATAATTTCAAAGCGTAGCTCCGGTGTAACAGGTTTTGAATGTTTATATATACCATATAAATACCCATATGAGCAGATTCAGTGGATTTAAGTGCAGCACGGACTACATACATGCGAACTGTGAACTGCGAACTCTACCTGGAGCCACCTGACTGATTTTATGAGCTGTACTGCAAATATCTGTGGCTTTATCGCATGCATTAAAACAAAGGAAAGAATAAAAAAAGGGCAAATACAGCTGACACAAAATTATGGCGATTGGTAAATAGAAAAGAGTCGAAAATAAATGCTACTTTTCTGAACAACTGCATTCGATATATTACATGGATTAGAGCTAAATTGCGTTACCAACAAGGAGAAAAACGAAAATGCTGTATGAACTATAGTAACAACGCTGAATCGTTCGTTTTTTCTGTGAAAAAGTGAAATCATGATGGAACAAGTAATGCTATTATAATAAATGTATGGTTTGGCATGGATAACTAGCAGCCAAAATGTGGAATTCGAAGCCCGAGTTTGTTTGTACCTTCAGGACGGCGGGCTAGCCATTCATCTCAGTCATTTGTCAAAATAAATATTCAACAGCTGCTATTCTGCCGCGGGGTCACTCTTCAAACCGTACACAAACTTTGACTTTCGAGAGAAAACATTATTCAAATTGATGTTGTCAAAATAAACAGATTTGTCAATCAATATGGATAGAAATAAAAACCACGCAAAACCATATTTCTTACCTAAACAAGGGGACCGAGAATCGATCAAAGTTTTGAAATTTTTCCATAAAGTGTTCTATTTCCAACCCATAGCATCTCCAAGCAACAATGTTATAATGTGCAAATCAAGGGTTTAACATCAGTGTTTATTCTATTTGGTTATTCTTTCAGAAACTCGCGATATAAATAGCGCGATATGATCATCGGAATCACAACAGATGGCACCTCTAACATCATTTCGCTTCGAACAGCTCAAAAATTCTAGGCGAGTTCTGATGGTAAGAGAAAAGTTGCAAAATTAAGAAGCATGAAATTGATTAATCAATCACATCGACTATTAGGAGAGTAAGCAGAGCAATGAAATGGACTGAGAAAAAAGATTTGTAGGAAAAAATTCTTTAGGTTGTGACTTGAGAGGTGTGGTTTGAGCGATTGACCAAGATGGTACACAGTTTATTATCTTAGTTTTTTAGGTTGTGTCAATTGCAGAATAAGAAAAGCTTCAGGAAGTTACGACCAAAACGCATAATTTCGCTAGACAGCATCTACATGATTCTGAAAAACACGTTCTTGGAAGCCTCGAGCTGTGAGGAATGCGTAAAAGAGAGAGAGAGGATGAAAGAGAGCCAATATTTGGTTCAGCAGGTTGCATGAATATGAAAATGCTCCAAATGGAAATACACATAAAGAGTTACACTATATGAATCTTATTTTGTAATATCGTAGCACCCGATATTATTTACTCTCCGAAAATGAACGTTTGTAAAAACTGTGTCATTGTCACTATTCGTTCCTGCCCTAATAGAAGTGCAGATTCGGAAGAAAGATATTGCAAGTGATTAAGCAACCAGTACTCATGCATCGCGCATCCACCACAATTGTTCCCATATGAACCATCAAAATGGTTGCCTTTCGATCGTTTTAACACGTTAACTCCAGCAAATTTGAGGCGCTTATTCGAAGTTGACATGTTAAAATGATCGAAAGACAGCCACGTTGATGGTTCATATGGGAACAATTCCGAGAGATGCACCATACACAAAAGGCAATTTCTATAAAGTACTTAAGTAAAGACCCATTTACTTGCCCCTGTCACGCGTAATAAAAACTACACTGGATTGAAACGAAGAATGGCAGTTGTGGAAAATGAGGTATCGAGAAAAACGCGTGGGAAGGGAAACATTCACAAAATGCAATGTGCTTCGAAAATGAAATTCAGATCCGGAGACTTTTCTGCAAAGTCAGAAAAGACGCAAGAAAATTCTAATTTGGGCAACAAGTCAGACGACAGAGCCAGAACCAAGACAAGATATGTATGAAAAAGACCAAATCTAGCCTGTTTAGTCCACAATCTAGCACTTTTTCAAGACAAGCAAGGCAATCCATTCACCAAGCCGCCTCCGATCTGTTATTTTGTCAATCATATGGGCTAGGAGTCGTATAAAACATATACTACGCCCAATAACAAATGTTCCACAAGGCGCTATAACTCAGATCGAATCTCAAGAGAATAGTTAGTTCGTGGCGATTTTAGATGCGGAAGTTTTTTTTCCAACATCGTCTTGCACATTAGGCGCTCTTGGTCGAGCGAAGGTCGGGAAGAGGGAGCACAAGTTTTCTTCAAGGTTAACTGGAGAATTACCAACTGCAATCAAAAGCTTAGGAAAGAAAAAGAGAACGAAAAGTGAGAAACTGGTCTTTCCTAATAGTATGGCAGGAGTGAACTTTGGACGAGATAGTAAACAAGAGTGGTGGAATTGAGGTTTTGCGGGTAGGGAATGGTCGGTGTAATGCTAATAAATTCTATACCGTGGCAAAACATACTATTTTATGTTGGTAGTAAATTCATACATGCAAAGATATGAACTTATACAAACATAGAAAACATAGAACATATTAAAATGCTCTATTAATTACACACGTAAACTGGTCAAGATTTCACTTTTCAACCTCTCCCAGTTTTTTTCATACTAAAAAACGAGCAAATTCAATTTGAGTTCTTCACACAACAAGAGAGGGCCTTTTTTTTCGATGAAAAAGAGGAAGGAAAATTTTGCAATTGCAATAATGAAAAGCTTACGAGAAAAGAGTTGCAGTGCAAGAAAATGATATCACAGATAGAAAACTTATTTGACTCACCTTCATCATCAGACAAAGTTTGCTTCGTTATTGCTGCGATAAAACTAGCTTGTCGTGGAGCGTTCCTTGGCGTCAAGGTACCATTTTCTAAGGAACTATCGGCAAGCGATATAGCCGACATCACGGCTTCAGGTAAATAGTGAATCTTCTGCAACAATAACGCGGTTGAAGTAATGAATACAAGAGACCAAATTAGCCCAGGCTTTTGAAATGGCACATGAATTGGAATTAAGCTTGGTTCGCTGAGTCTAACTTTGCTGTACCTAGCTGCGAAGCATTATTCTGAGGAGAGTTATGATCTTTTTTCTGAGCGTGACTGGCTTACTACTTAATATGAAAGACAGCCGCAGATAGAAATCTGCTTAAAAAAAGTTCTAAGATATCAATAATTCAGATCGAGTATAGCGATATATCTATTAGAATGAGTATTTTGATCTCAATAATAATCAACGCTTTGTGTGTGTTAACATTTGGTTTATACTAGAGCAATTCGTGAGTCGATGAACAGATACCTAGTTTGCATGAAAAAATCAGCCACTTTCTATAGAATAATGCTTGGTAGCAAAAAGCGAGCTTTTACTAGCTCAGCGTTTCAGATGACTCCAACTATGAGCATCATTTTTCAAATGCTACCTGAGTTGGTTTTGTAAGTTGAATTAACATAAAATGTCATGGAATTCTATACCTCAGGCGGAGCACGTCTGGATGGCCGCGATTGTCGAGGAGGCATCGCAGGATATAAACTGGCATAGGAGTTAGTCTCATAGGAAGAGTTTTGCGAGTTCTGAAAGACTAGGGTATGAAATCACAGAAGGAAGATGGAGACGTGATGCAGATGAACATAAATTGATTCAGGAACAGACAATTATTAGAATTTGTTGATGTGAAGGTTTGGGGCACCAGATTGAGACCTATCGTCCGTGAATATGCTGGCTACCAAGCAAAGGGTAGCACGGTTGGAAAAAAATGTAAAGTTTTTTTAGATTGTGAGATCCTTTTTTGACGTTGAAGGTATTAGACGTCGATGTTTCCTTGAAGTTCACAAGATGTTCCTAGGAATTATCTCGGCAAAGCTCAATGCCCTTGAGGTCTTGATATGAAGCCAGCTCCATTTGATTTTCATATCTACATCAAATTTTCACCTAACACTTACTCTAATGATTGTGTTAGGTGCTACGAGCCTGGGGGCAATGTTATAACTGAAGAAAAAACATTTGCTACTACTGCAAAAAACTGAAGCTTTTTGCTTGCGATATTCACATACCCACATACTCTGGCATCAAATTTCAGGTACGTAGTATGGGCATTTTTTTGCGGGTGAGAAGAATGGGAGCATAACAAAAACTCTGGACCTGGGGATTACGCCTGAGCTGCTCTCCAAGAATTTTTGTACAATTAGCAACTTCAAAACTTTATAGACAAGAGTGAACGAATTGGCCAAGATGCGGAAAAGATTTCTATAATAGAAAAATGTCGTAAATCGTTGCCTTATCTATAGAGAACTTTAAAAAATATCTGCTAGCCCTTTTCAATATAGGAAAAGCTTAAACTTCTTGCTGTTCTGAAGAAGCAAAGGAGTTGCTGATGTTACACATCGGGTACAACTTTTTTCCAGGAAACCTTTCATTACATACTGCGAAACACCTCTCTAAAAGCATGTACGGAACTGTTCTGCAGTTGGTGCCATGCACTCTAAATGCAGCATTCGCATGGAATTTACAAAGAAGTTCGTATCGGACGAAAGTTCCGTAAAATTTGGTACACAGAGGATGGCTGCACGTAATCAAATAATAAAAGGTCTTCTCCGTTCCACCATTTACTTCGTGCGAATTGCACCTTCTGGATTTGCTTTTGCAGAACATTTTCGTCGACAACGTTTTGTTGCGTGATTACTATAACACTTTTTCATCATATTTTCTGTTCTTATCATGATAACTTCGACAACAACAACGATTCATGCAGTTGTAGGCTGCAAAAATGCTGCGATGCGCAGAGCGACTAATCAGATCAGAGACTTTTGTATAATTTGCTCAAAAAATTGAATCCTTACCGCAACCGTTGTCGGACTAACAGACCAAGTAGACAACGCTTTAGACTGAGGTGGAGCAGTGCCATGATCCATATTCCACGTTGACTGGGATGAGCGGAGATACAATTGACTGAAAGTGAATAGGTTGCCCTTAATTGTGATGAGCATGCTCTCCACTAATATTCATCAGAAAGTGATTTCCCACAAAAGTTTGTCACGAGTTGCGCAGTGACGATGAGCCCGCAAAATTTTCTCCGAGTAAAGATTGGATTACGAAAATAGATAAGTTAAATTTACAAAGCGAATTTAGTGCTGATGATAACGCTGGTGGACTTACTTATAAGGAGGAGGAGCATGTTTTGGCGGGTAAATCATTTCATAGTTCGGTGGAGACGGAGATACATCGTCGTCAGATACTCTCAGCGGACGACTGGTAGACAAATTTGGCCTCATTTCTCTTAGAAGAGTGTCGATGCGAGCTTCCTGGAAACTTTTATGTTTAACCATAAATTAGCCGTTCATTTTTGTGACCCCTTACCTGTGCAAGGGCATGATCACTTCTGCTTCGTGTTGAATGCAAACGTCTTGTAGTACAATAATCCATTTTTTGTTTTTCTGCAACAGAGCAAAAAATTTCCACGAATTTAAACACGGATCCCATATAGTATCAAAGTAATGGACTGATAGCAGTGGGACATTACTATAGGGCCGGGCATACTTCACGCGATTTCAGTCGCGACGCGATTTGGCGATATTCCAGCTGTCCATAACTCACTGTAAGCACATTTTAAATGTACAGAAGACAGGGCATTTTATCAATCCACGTAAGTAATACACACCATACATGTGCAATTTGCTAGTGTTGGATCTGAAGGCTTATGGCAAATTGCCAAATCGCATCGCGACTGAAATCGCGTGAAGTATGCCCGGCCCTTATGGCTTGAATGCATAGAGTAAGAAGCGCTTCGCTATTTATATCGGAAAAGATTGGCTCTCAAAATGAGCAGTGAACTTGACTTGATTGCTTGAGTGCAGTATTTGAAATTTTGCACTCATAAATAAACCATAAAACGCCATTGCGGTAGAGAAATTAGTGAGCAGGAAGTTGCTGAACGCATCGCACTAGCTTGCACTATACCAGCCAAATTTCCCAGAAAAGCACATTTTCACCACAAGTTTTCATTAATCCGGGCTCTAAAGTTTGTGATAAAACAATTTTTCGAGGTAATTATTCTATTGAGTTTTCTGCCTCACAAATATAGTCGAGCCATTTGACCATTTGTGATTACTACGTACACCGCACACTGCAGACAGTACTTCACGACTCGTATAATAAGAAGCGTCAATTTTTAGATCTCTGTGCTCCTCTTTTTTTTTAATTTTAGATAGATACCAGATGTCAATATCAATCCATCAGGTTCCGCTAAAAACGGACTTTACTGAAATTAATGGCGGAGAGTCGTAACTTACAGCGCGAGTGTGCAAATTCTCATATTTGACCACAAAAAACTTTACGGTAGCTCACAGTTTCTTCGTTTTGTAGAAAAGATGAAAAAAAGTAGTGAAAAGGTTTCGCTGTTGTGTGGAAAGATTGAGTGAATATAAAGTCTAGAGAGAGAGACATGATCGTGAATGAGATGCTTATGAATCGTGCTAAGACTCGCACATATTGTACTGTGTTATATTGATACTAGCTTGAAAATTGCAAGATATACCTATGGCGCTCCAAAGCCCAAATAGTTGTCAGTGCCTAAAACCCAAAGAAGGGCGGCGATATCAAAGTAGAAAATTCACAAGCCAGTATTGAGAGTTCTTGCAGTAAGTACATATTGCGCATTTCCCTTCTTGAGAAAGAAAAATCGCTGCAATGCCACTTTCCTCAAAATTATAACCGTAGGTTGCACAAAAATTTATGACTTCAAGTTGAAATAACTCGAAACATTTAGCGCGAGACAATAAATATTGCCAAAAAGCAAATAAAGATATCAAGTCTCGGATGCACTAACACGATCTGTCACTGAGATCAATGTACTTCGAAAACTTTCGCACGATCTCATATCTTTCACATAATTTACATAAGTAGGCAGCGAATGCAAATAGGTCCTTTGAGATAAATATGTTTGAAAGTAATGGATGCATGTTTTCTAACGGCTTGTAACTCACTGACAAAACAAAAAAATCGTCAAGCAGAGCTTTTTTTTAATAGAAGAATAATCTTCTCTGCAATCTAATGCAGGGAAAGTTATTCTGTTCATAACGCATCTGTGATAAAGGTCACAAGTAATTTTTGTGGCATTTTTAAACTAACGCATGACCTATTGTTAGTGAAAATGCGGTTTTTGGAAATTGACATCTTCGCCAAAAATTAAGATAAACAGGGTGTCCCAAAAAGATGTGCACACTGTTTGATCGTTAATAACTCTCTTGCTTTCATGTTTTTCGCCGAGCATGAGGCACCATTCTATGGAGCGAGGTTCAACTTACTACTGTATGGAGCGAATCATCGATCACTCTTCATTACTGTAGGATTACGGTAGGAACTTTGACAAGAATTTCACATCATTGGAGGCCATATTCTGCCTCGGAGTAAAACCAAACGAGCCAAAAACTCTTATACTATGGTAATGGAAGATTTCGAACATGAAATTCACACTGTACTGTGATGCTTCTTCCCTAAGTTATCCCCGATAAATCGTAATAAATCAATTCTCAGCATTTGTCAGAAGTGTAATTACATCGTCAAAAAAGTTGGAAATACTTGTAAAAAGTAGTTAGGTGGAATCAGCATGCGCGAAAATCCTAGTACACAATTTTTCAGATTTTTTGAAAAAAATTTTATTAGGTGGTATATTTCACAATGGTTTCATATGCTGGAATTTCTTACCGTAATCCTACAATAATGAAGAGCGGTCGATGATTCGCTACATACTGTATATCTAAGTTTAACCTCGCTCTATAAAATGGTACCTAAAGCTTTTCGAAACACTTCATTACGGGAGAGTTACTTGCAATCAAACAGTGTGCACATCTTTTTGGGACACTCTGTATATCTCAAACCGTCCTTAACTACACTTTGGCGCAGTTATCGTGATATTTTCCAAAACCACAGCTTGCGCATAAAGCGAAAGGCCTAGATACGTATCCAGGAGAAATTAAGAATGTATTCATTTTAAGGCAACAAACGCAGCACTCACAGGCAGACAATACTTTGTACACGGTAGCGATAACTACGTTTCAACATTTTAATCCACGCGTATGGAAATTTATGCTGATTTGTACTTTTTCTGGTGCGGTGAATACCATAGTACAAAGGTTCAGAAAATCGAAGATGCGAAGGCCATAAATCATTGGGAATTTCTAGAATTTGAGAACACTGGCGCCAAGCCATTGCCAAACATGTAGTCGGTTTTTAAGGCTAATGTACATCATCGGAAACGAAGAGATTGAGTTCGTACACTTCGAGCTTGATGATTGTTAAGATCGCGCCTGATATCAGTGAAATCATCGAATACATGTACAAAAGTTAGTTTCCTATTATCTGCAGGGAGTGCAAAATCCTTGCTTTATTCTTGTAAATACCGTGACACAAGTCTTCATACAAAGTAAAATGTAATATTATCACAGATATCAAGATATTTGCAAAAGTCTCCATACTTTTCAATAAAGAATCTCAAATGATATTCACATAAAAATAAGGACCTCTTGAAATTTGCAGCTTTGAGAGTAAGCTCTTCACCAGCTACTTCATTAGAGACAGTGTTTACTGAGCATGAGTTTTTTTTAACATTTCTGCCTCCAATTCGAATAACCAAATTTTCATAGCCAAGAAATATGTTCGCAATTGCAGAATGACTGCGCATTTGCAGTCGCGATCATTCAAAAAAATTGATTTAGTGCAGTACGAGTACGATATGCTTCGGGTGGATCCGGAACCTGCTACAAAAAAAAACTTTAGAGTAGTGGCATCCAAGCACAGAAAAGTAAAAAAAACGTGATCGACAAAAAGACATTCACTCACTAACATAAATCTTATGTTTCTGTGGTAGAACGGGAAGAATGACACTGTTAAAACCAAGAGAAAATAATTGTAGAATCCCTGTGAAACCACATGCCCTTTCCTGCTTACCCTCTGGTGTTTGCAAATGTCTGGTGAATCGCTTTAGTATGGAAATAACTGAAGATAATATTGCAGTGGCAGTCAGAGGAATTGAATTTTTGGTGGATGAAGAAGCTCTAGCCACGCTTTCCAAAAATAATTTTTTTGGAATGCTTTTCAAAATTCTAGCGACGGAGAAGAATTTGAGTCTATTTTGAGTCTGCAAGATTACGAATTTTTTTTGATTATTTCCAAATGACAATGCCATCTCCAACTGCGTAGCTCACTTAGGTTGCTATCATCTTAGGGAGCGCCTACCCCCTCGGTTTACGCTGAAATATTCTGAACTTTAGAAGCTCTTAATAAAAGCACGCTATCCACTATCAGTGGATCAAAATATTTTCAGCTCATTTTCAAAGCTCGGAAGGGCCTGTTAATCCATGAAAGCGAGATGTACAGACCACGAAAAGCAGGCTTTTATCACACCTTAGACCTTGAGCTTTCACAACCCGTTCCCGTGTCATAATTGTTGAAGAGAAAACTCATAAATTACCCACACCCACCTCAACGTTGACAGGAAGACAAATTCGCCAGAAAAGATAAAAGCGTTTCAATGTCGCTGGCAGCGATTCGACATCAATGCTACGATGAAGGTCATCCGGGTTGTACGCTTGTAATGTGTTAGTCAATAATACCACACCACTTTGCCTAAAACATTCCGATTCATGAGCGGAGATCATAAATCATATAATCCCGAATACGAACAAATGGTGGGTCCGGAGGTAGAAGAAAGAAAGAAAACGTTTATAAAGAACTAGGAGAGCGAACGCGGTACGGCTACTGTTATTGTGTCTACGCATGGTGGTTGTATGTGTGTACGGAACAACAAAAGTTGTATTCTATGTACGACTTGTTGATCCGGTTGGATTAACGATAAATCGGAACAAGCAATAAAATCGTTTGCGACAATGGATAGATGACGGAGGCTCGAAAGGCTGTTTCGTAGGGTTTTGTTGCGAAAAAACGTATAGATATACTAGGAGATACTTAAATTCTTTCATTTCTGAGCATTATGATGGATTTTTACAGATTGCATAGAACGCAGCAAATACTTCAAATCTAGTCATCAAACATTCTCACATTACCAGATTTGAAGTATTCTACCTGAATCGATAACTGAACAAACACCATCGTCCGGGGCAAAATGACATGATGAGTACCGGATTCGTGTGCAGTGAATGTACACTATATGGATAATGGTCAGAGGACTTATGTCGCCGAAGGAGGTCCCGCTCGGTCATCTGCAACAAGCACGAACCTCTTGCTTGTACATGAGATGCACATTTGTTACACATGTCCTGGAGGCCACCTGTTCGCTAACGTATAATCCACCACCTAATTGAAAGAAGTATAATAACAAATACAATTATCTCAGATTGGCAGATGTTTGCATTCTAACGCTTTCGAGGTGTTCGCTTGCGTGCACAAGTGTCCACGTTTCCTCGACTCGAAGGCATTGAAAGCGCGTCGCAGCAGCAGTCGCAACTTTTGCCCTATCTGCGCAGACGGACTCGCAACAATTGCGATTCTTTATGAGCACAAAGTTTTTGGATCAAAACTATTATCATGGCTTTGTAGATGTGCGTCAAAAACAATATACAGAGCTGAGATTGCCACATACTTGCAGAATGAATTTGCAAATAGGTAAAGTTCGATTTATTTTCTCAAGAAAAAGAACCGACAGCGTTTGCAAACTGATACTCAGATATTGACATGAATCAACTAACTTATCCTCATTCTGACGCAAAGTATGGAAAAAAGGGTGGCGAGGGAGGGGAAAGGGTGGAGAGAGAGAGAAGAAAAAAGAGAATCAAAGCTAAACACACGAAAAAGCTGTAAAGTCGAGTTTTCGATAAAACTGAGGTCGAACCATTGCAAGATTGGAAGAGAAGTCAACCAAAAACTGCTGCCACAAGTTTTACAACCTACTTTCACAATCGCTTCTAAAACCAGCTGAAAGTTTGAGACATTCGAACACCGAAAACATTGAGCATTCAAAGCAAACATTTATGTGGTCAGATGCAAGCAGGTAAGTCAAACTCTAACAACAGGAACATGCGGAATAACTTGACCAGAAACTTTGGTATCATATGACACATGCATAAATGAGAATGAGTACATTTACATCTACGCATACCCAGTTTTCCCAAAGAAACACTCGGCAAACTCACATAGGCGCCGCAACGGATAGAACTTGTCCGAAAGCAATAAAATTGCGGTGAGATTCGCAAAACACCTGCATCGCTTCGTATTTTAGTTAATTTCCAAGCAGAGCAGAGGGGAAAAACTCAGTTAAGGTTTTGTGTTTAAAACTAGCTCTGAAATAGCAATTTCGAGAATGCAGCAATTACAGTTTAAAAGGCAAGTGAAAAGTCAACCCAGCCAAGATCTATATTGACTGGAACCAACAAAGTTATAAGAAGTCTGTTTCCTGGCAAATTCATATCGCCAAGAATAACGCTGGAAAACAGACGCAAATTGTTTCGCAGGAATTACCACCAGGAAAAGCATTCACAATTATTGTTATCTGCATTCGCTCCTCCGAAAACGAAGGGGTTGCCCTAGTTTTCTAAAATTGCCCAATTTCGAGCGGTTTTCGCGATTACTGACTTAAAAAAAGGGTAAACTGAGTTTTTGCGGCAGGAATTCGGAAGAATAGATTGGAGCTAAACGAAAATTGCAATCTTCATCATTTCTCAAGAAAAACCTCGCAAGCAAAGAAATGGACCCTATTTTTTACGAAAACAGACTTGGAAGCCTACAAAGAAGCAACATTGAATTTTATTATTTTTTGAGAATGACTGAGGTTGGCATATTGACCAAATCGTAAAGCTGAACAAGCGGAGCGACACGAAAAATTTCAGAAGCCATCATTTCAAGCTTTGAGATACCTGTACAAGCACTGAAAAACCTTTTTCATGTTAATATCGCAATTGCACAGTAAACAAACGACTGTCTTAACAAACTTGAAAAGACTGCCGGGAAATCTGAGTAGGAAAGAGAAGTTCCATGGTCACCAAAAACCGTTATCTAGACGATTGAGCGGTCACCAAAAACCGTTATCTAGACGATTGAGCAGGGAAGCGAACAGACGGAAACCATGATAACAGGGCATTAGGTAGCATATTGCCAATTGGTTTTCAGTGATACACAACCACTAAACCAAAGGTAAAGTACTGCTAATTGAGCCTACTTTCCAAAAAGTTGAATTAAAAGATATAAAGTTTAGAGCGACATATACAGCGGAATATCGAAATGCTAAAGCACTTCATGAGAAAACCACGAAAATACCGAGAATCTCGAAGAGCCATTATGAGAAAATAAATTGGATCAGCTGATAATCGGTTGTTTTAGCTTCAACCGAAGAATATCGCCGCACCCGACAAGCAACGGAAACAACCGATCCTGTTCCTTTGACGACAAGGGTGGAATCGCGCTGTTTGATGGATTCACACGAAGATCAACGCGCCCCACGACGCGAAGGACAACGACAAAAAAGGGATTTGCAGAGGAATGGAAAGAAAAAAGAAACTGTGTAAATGAAAGTCAGGGATGAGCTGGGAATGGAGGAACGGGAAAATGGAGATCTCCTAGGGAGTCAATTATCTTCAACAAGAAGGTAGCAAGCTCTGAGTAGATAAATGACACTTTTTATTCTTCTCTTTCTCTTCTCTCGGAGAAAAAAATGCTTGAGACTAGCTAAAATGAAGAGTTGAACAAAGACTTTGAGTGAGAAGCGAATTTTCTGTACAAAAAAATTACAAGCTCCGATGACTAGTTTTTGGAGAAGAAAAACCGGAGGAAGTTGTGCCGGATACCGGATAAAAATCAATAAATTTAGTGCAGATGGGAGGTATACCAGATGAGAGGTTGATGGTATTCAAGCATTTCAAGTGCACATTTCATTCAAGTTTGACGGGATCTAGCTGTGCTGTATGAATACTTTTTGAAGCACTTTTGTAATACAATATACAAAGCAAAGCCAGATGTCAGCAAAACTAGGAGCAAAAAAACTGAGGAAAAATTGAATGTGGGGGGGGGGGACTGAAGAAACACAGGGGTCCAAATTTTGGTCAATGATTGAAAAGGCAGCACCCAGCCAAAATTGTGTTTCTGGCTTCTTAAGCGGAAAATGCTTAGGGTCTTTCAACTAAGCCAGTGCTCGAACAGCAGCTTATATGATTCATTTGCTGCAAAAGAATTCAATTTCACCTTTTGCTCACAAACCTACTATTTCCAGGCCGGTCTTTTAGCATCCTTGGATACGGTATGCTAATAAGTTTGCTAGGAAAAACTACGGTCTGGGTGAAAGTCTAGAGCTGAGTTTCTCAGCTATAAATGAATTCAGCTTGGGAAAGGCATGGTAACCCCCCATTCAGTATTCAAATGAGCAGTACGGGCATGATTTATCGGCACAGTTTTGAAAGTGTAGACTCCTGCAGCAAAAAATTATCTTAATCGTCACGACGTGCAAGGGAAGATTCAAGATACAACGAGATTTCCAGTTTCAAAAAATATATCCAGGTTTTCATGCCCAGATAGGAAAGAACACGGAGATCGCGAGTGGTATTTGTGTAAACTCCCGCAAAAATGGAGATACAGGTGCAATGCAAGAAGATCGTCAGTGTAGCAGCAATTTTATAAAAACGCATTGAATGAATTCTCGTTCTGAATATGCTTAATCCGCCTCTATGTTTACTCTCCTAGCAAGCGTAGTCTCACAAGAAGTTTTCATGTCTCGCAGCACACGTCTACCACCTCCAAGCTTTTGTATTTTAGTTTGAAAATTTCTTTTCAGAAGAAGTAATGCGATTTATTTTGATCAGAATGCCCGACAGAATCTAGGGAAAGATGATTTTGAAGGAAAAGAGTGATTTGTAGTCTACGGTGATGCGGATTTTTTGCGGTGTGGTTCCAAAGGTGTGGCGAGGGGGGGGGGGAGAGACTGAGGAATTGAGAGGGTCAAGAAGGTTTCTTCTGGATGATTGGTTCATCACCGTTTAGCAAAAAGGGCCCCTCCCCCCCCCAGGCTTTCAACATTTAGATTTATGTGCTTTGTCATTCAGAGGTCCCTTCTCAATGTAGCAGAATATAAAGCTTGAAGACAATGTTTCGGAATGAAACACTTTGATGCTCTATTTTCACCTCCACTTTACATTCCGATACACCAAAAACAAAAAACAAATTAGAACTCTCAAGAAAACTCTCAAGAAGAACTCCCATTAAAAAGTTAGAAGAAAATTGCGGAGATGGATTGCAGAAAATGGTTTCCAAAAGGAATAGGTAAAATAGGTCGCAAAATTGCGTGCGTCCGCCGGTTTCAGGTGCATGCGAATTGAGGACATCTGGCATGCACTGAATTTGGTTATAGTCACAAAAACGAGCTAGGTAAAAATTTTTCCTAGGGCTTCGAAATAAAAAGAACATAATAAACGACTATGTCTTTTTGGCTTACTATACAATTTCCAACAATCTCATATTGGGAACACGATCGCGATCTTCCAGGCAAGTCTAGCTATAGTTTCTTCACTTTCGCTCAATTTTTACAGAAAGCAGATAAAAGCAGATATATCCAAAAGCTGTAGGAACTGACAACTTTTGGTTTATGAGACTATTTTTAGACTGACCCAATGCCATTACTGACGGCATTTGCACATTT